CACTTCTACAGGAATAGAACTATTGAATTTAACGGACATTTGGATATAACACGTCTATAGAAAGAGAACTATTGATCTTAACGGACATTTGGATATAACACTTCTACATGAATAGAACTATTGAATTTAACGGACTTTTGGATATAGCACTTCTACAGAAAGAGAACTATTGGACTTAACGGACTTTTGGATATAACACTTCTACAGAAAGACAACTATTGGATTTAACGGACTTTTGGATATAACACGTCTATAGAAAGAGAACTATTGGGCTTAGCGGACTTTAGGATATAACACGTCTATAGAAAGAGAACTATTGGGCTTAGCGGACTTTAGGATTTAACACGTCTACAGAAATAGAACTATTGGACTTAACGGACTTTAGGATATAACACGTATAAGTTATAAGTAACGGACTAAACGGACTTTGGGATATAAAACGTATAAGTAATAAATAGCGGACTAAACGGACTATCTTTTATAAAGTCTCTTGAAAATAGAGGATGATAGCGAAGTGACCAGGAGTGATTCTACTCTTACAATTAGTGACTGATTGATCCCGTAGTAAACAACAGTACGTATTGACTAGTCAGTCGGATATATCATCTTCCTACACTGTCTTCGTTGATGTAATTTGATACACAGTACAATTTACAACTTTATAGTCCGAGAGGGTATGTTGGTATAATTAAATAGCTTTTTGTGATTATCTCAAACGAACCATTCCAAATGTATATTTGTTATTTTTTAAAAAGTGGATTTTTCTTCAAACACTTAGTGGTAATTTTTGGTACATTAGGATTGTCGACTTATTTGGGTCAAGGATTGCATCGTTTTATAGGATCTAAATTTGTTCTCCAGGCTGTGCTACAGGCTGTTCACGTTAAAGATCCACCGACAGTTGAAAATTAAAAAGAGTGAGCCGATACCGTTGTCCCGGCAAAATTTCCCTTATTGCATGGCGTTGTCCATCTTTATTAGCCCATAAGGTGCATAAAAGTAGGACGCAAATCTCCATCCATTTAATCTCATCCATAAGCAGGCCCGAACAAAGATAATAAGGATTCTGTACAATGTAAGTACGTGTATATCGGAAGCAGTTTAATACACCATTCAAATCTACAAATCTCCTCAGACTCTGTATTTACACTAAATCTTTAAATATACGCATGCTAATCTTCATTCTTTTTTTATAACAGGGAATCTGCCAATTATTGAACAAAGCGCTGTCATCTTTAAAACTATCATCGTGGTTTCATATATCTATTTGATCACTACCGGCAATTTTCTCTAACCATTTACTTACGGTACAAGCTCAAGTATGATATAGATGAAACGTTACAATTTTCCGTTTCGTAGATCGTCCTTATTTCTATACATTTAACACGTATTTTACTCCATTTTGCGAAATGTTTTTGCTTACAGAATTTTTGTGGGTGACGGCATTGGTTAAAAAGGGATACAATTATGGCCAACAACCATGGAAAATTAGTACAAATGTTAGTATGTGTTTTTTTATTCCCATATCTATGCAGTATGCACCAGTTGGCACCTGAACCGACATCCTATGTAAGGCATTGTAATAATCCGTAAAGACAAGGTATAGCAGGCTCGAATTATCTGAGTTATTCCTTCTATTATACCGGGTAGCCATGGTTTGGTGTACGTGTGTAATTTTATAGTCAACAATTTATTCTTATATTAACATGCATTCACTACAAGTGGCAGCGTTTGCAACCCGAGATTTGGGGGTACAAATAAGGGACAGACTGACTAAATGGTGAGACAACCGTCGAGGATCAGATTCAAAATGCGACAGAACTGTGAACGCGCATAATCAAGAGGTTCCAATAAAACATCTGAAAAGGTTGTCCCCACATTTTATAAAAAAAATATAAAAATTTCAAAATTTGTTAGAAATGTTAGGGTGCTGGTGTTGTCACTGTTGACGATATGGGTACGGTTCAGTCCAGTTGTTCATTTCACCTTTTTGTCTGCCTCATTGCACCCTTATATGTTTTTACTCGTGGAAAAAATTGAAATGTTACAAGAACATGTTTTAAATGAGGAGTAAATCATATTGGCAGAATATTGTAAATTAAATTATCTCATTGAAATGTCAGACGCTTTTTCAAATTTTCTCAAAGTAAATTAGATCAATTTTGCTTCTTGTCTTTTTAAGTTGGTTAATAATTTAATAACACCCTTCGGCTTTTTATCTAAATTTAATTTCTCATTTTCGTTTTCTTTGAGAAAAACAGGGCGAGAGTGTTAACTTGCTTGAAAAACGAGAAATGAACATTCTAAAAGAAATATTAAAAAGAAAAATAAGAAATGACCGTCTTACCCAATGGAATATCCGTGTGAATAGCCGTGCCATAAATTTGATATACGAACATCCACGTTGGAAAGGTAAACACAACGATTTGAAACTTCATATTTAAAACACTTAATGATTACTAATAGTTGTAAAGATTGACAATAGCCTAGCCATGGCAAATATCCATTAATCCAACTTTAATCATGACTGAGAAATGTTATGATATTGGAAGTTTTGTCACACGCCAAGAACTTTTCTTCATGATAAAAAGAGTTTTAGTGTGTACAGCAACTCCGCCTCCTGACTGTATCGGTACAAATCAGAGCGAATGATGGCTATAACTAGCGTTATGATCGAACACAGGACAAACCGTTTTCTATCTTCTAGCTATAACTCTATAGTGGAATGGATTTAGTTTAGGGAATTAGCTGACAAATCACGTTAATAATATCGTTATCAGCATCTATTTGATCCTGTTAAATTTATTCAAGCGAGATAAGGTTGTTACGTTCACTGATCTCTGTGGAGAATTGGACAATTGTGTTAAGAAGCTGTTAAGAATTTCTATTTCTATTTCTCTTCCTCTTCTGTTCAATTTCCTATTTTTACTTCTATTACATGCAGAAATTTGCCATACGGGGGTTGCGTTTAAATGCACGGATGCGGAATGTTACTAATTGCAAAACAAAAGAAAAACCTTCGAAATCCAATAGATAATAATAAAGAACATCAATCCCCACTTCAAAAGTAGCCCTGGTGATTCTCATTTTGCCTGTTAGTCGTTTAAGCGACTTAAGAAAGTTTTACTTTTGGTATACTTTCGCTAATCTTGAAATTGTTATGTCAATTCCGCAAGCACCTGATTTGAAAAAAATGAAAAGACCAAGTGTTCAAAGATAGCGGTATAATATATCATTTCGATTTCAAATTTTTGGTTCCTGTAGCACAATTGGTCTCACCCGAACTTTTCCGTGTCAACCACAAGTAATTTAACATTCCAACCAACGCTGAAATTGTTTTTCCTAGGTTAAAAGTGACCATGACTTAGCTGAATTACCATGGATAATAATGGTGCCACATTCAACG